CCCCGCCCCCACCAACCCCCCCGCGCCAGCCGCCACCAGGGTCTCCCTCCCGATGCTGAGTCGGGGAAGGGGCTGCGCTGCCAGCGTGGGTCTCCCTGGAGCGGAAATGGTGCCTGCTTTGTGTGGGGAGCCCGTCACGGAAGGAAAAAGGGACCCGGAGATCCCGAGGAGAGTTGCAGTAGGAGCGGTGAGTGCGCGAAGGTGTGGCTGAGACCCACGGACACTTGGAAGTCCTCACAGCTCGGACTTGGTCGCGCCAAAAGTTGGCAACCGGTCACCCCCACACAAGAAAAAAAAAAAAAAAAAGACCCGAGGAAGCAGCAGCGGCACACAGAGGGAGACATTCAGTGTGTGCTCACAAACACAATCTGACTTGTGAGAAGAAGAAGCAAGAAGGATGCAGCGTCCAGAGGGATGGAGAGAGAGAGAGAGAGAGAGAGAGAGGGAGAGAGAGAGGGAGGGAGGAGAGTGGGTGAGTGTAAGAGATGAGAGCAGTCACTGGATTTGTGTGCGCATGCATGTGTGTGTGTGTTGAGTTTGTGGAGCCAGATTCTCCGGCTTGGCTTTTTATACGGTGGCAGCAGCAGCAGCAGCAGCAGTAGAACCCCCTCCTCCTCCCCTCTGCCCCCCCTCCTACCCCCCAATCGAGGGAGATTGGTTGAGGTTGGTGTGGTTACATCCCTTCTCTCTCCAGCCCACTCAGAGAGGAAGCGCTCTCATCCCATAGCCTTTCTTTTTTGCCACCCTCTTCCAAGACAACCCCTCTCTCTCTCTCTCTCTCTCTCTCTAGACTCGACCATCTTGCACCCCCCCTTCCATCCCTTTTTTCTCCCACCCCTCTCTTTTCTTCCTCTCCTTGCTTTACTTCCTTTCCACACGTCTGACGTCATCTTCTCACTCCCTTTCTCTCATCGCTATCCAGTCGCTAAAAATAAAGATGGAGCTGTGGAAAGAGTTTTCCTGGAGGTGGGTTCTAAAGACTCGTGCAAACATGTGCAAAGACACAAGGCAATATATACGGTATATGTCTGCCAACTTCTCAATTGAACACTGCTAATTATTAACACAGATGAGGCCAGGAACCAAGTACTTTCCATCTACATGGTATCTAAAAAAAACAACAACAACAAAAAAAAACAGAGAGACTTCAGGAATATTTAAGTCACTTCAAACTTGTTCCACAGATACCGGTATAATAGCTGAAAGTTGATTGGTGGAAAGACGCCTGCTGTCTTCAAGGTGATAACTTTCCTCGGGGAGTGCAAGGATTTCACAGCAAGACGATGTCTGCTTCAGTTTCAGTGCAAATTAGAAATGAAGAATCAGACGTGACGTGCTGGACTGGCCTGCCTGCGGTCCAGATCGGTCTCTTATCTCACATGTTACGACACGTTGCTCAGCTGAACGATTCGTGATTCAACTTGACTTTACTTTTGCTGGAGTTTGTACGTCAAAATCAAATGTAAAATACAGTAAAAGTTTTTCTCTCTGGAGCAAAATTTAAGTAAAAAAAAAATCATCAAAAATCCGTCCTAATCATTTAGAGGCCACCGACGCTTTGTTTCTCCTCTATGATAACTACAGAGTCCCTTCATCTGAATGTGAGACACCACGGTTTATTGGTTTCCTTTTTAGGTATCGATTTCTTGGTTTTTATCAAATTACGGCCCCTGGTCTGAAGAAAACAAAATCTATATATAGCAGTGATGTCATCGGTTTGACATTTACATCCCTTAGAGTGATAAATGGTAACGTAAGATAGCAAATAATAAAGTCTGGTGGGAGATGGTACTTCATTTGTGGGGTCTTTTAATACAGGTTGGAGCTTCAGTGTTTTTGGTTTGTGTGACTCAAAAAAAAAAGGACAGAGGAGGTCGAGATGAAACTGCAGAGGTTTTTTTAGTCTCTCAGTTGAGGAAAGTTGAGTTCTGGAGAAGTCCTTAAATATTACTAGGGACTTTTTTGTGTCTTTTTAAAACAAATATATATTTTGGAGGTGTCGGCATTAATCAGAACTCCGGACCAAACCACAAACTTTGGTAGAATTTGTTATTTCTAAATGTTTTAGCCTAAAGAGTGCGATATGGTTAATGCTGATTTTTTTAAAGTTGTTTTTTGAACTATTTTGATCGTTTAAAGTTGGCTATTCATTCACAGACAGAAATAGTTACGTAAAACTACGTTGCGTTAAACTACGTTACGTTAGACTACGTAGAAAATAACTTCGTTATGCAGTCGTAAAACGCTTCCAAATCAATTAAGACCTCTTTAATAAAATAATAGAATTTTTTTTTGGGGGGGGGATGTCTGATAATATCGGCCGACCAGTATTATCATTCGATATTCGCCTAGCTATGTATTATCGGTAAGAATCGTTATCGGTTTTTCCTCCGATAATGAAAACCCGATAACACAATGCATGGGTCTTGCCCCAGATGATGTGTGACCTAAAAATAGTTTTGAAGGAAATTAAATGTTTGGACAATATCGGCCTATCAGAAATTAGCAAAAAAAAGTTAATTTCGGACAGTCCTCCAATGCTTTGATTTCCAGTTTCAGAAACAATTTAAATGTACACTTCAGTTGGAATTAGAAAAAAATAAAAAAATCTTGAAGAGCCAGTAATATTACACTTAACATGTCAGCAGCTATTTTGGTGGAATCTCAGTCTAATCGTCGACATAAGTCGCAGCTTCTCCAGTCAGATGAATTGCCCATGAGCCGAGTCTGCGAGAGCTGACAGAGCAGGTGTTCGTACCACACATGTTTGCCTGTTGGTATTATTCCAGGTAACAGACGTTGTGTATATGAAGAAGCACACAAGTCCTAAATTGGTTTTGGGAGTTTGTTTAGGTGGAAAGGAGCAGGGAGTGGGTGAGGGCAGGTGGGGGGGGGTATTTGTTCTTCACACCTGCTTGTTGAAAGTGCCAGTCAGAACGGTTTGGCCCGAAATTCCAAAAATCTCTGAACCTCAGAGATCAATGCGCAGCAGAGAGGACAAACAGAGCGTGATGGTGATGAAAGAGAGACGAGAACGGTGGGAGAGAGCGGGAGAGGCAGAAACAGGGAGGGGTACGACTCTGCGCCGAGCCCTGTATCAGTGAGATCGGTTTGTTTCGCTTGATTTGTTGGAGCATATGTGAGAACAACCTATGGGGCGGGGGCAACTCCAGTTGCATGGGGAGGTACGTAAATTCCAAAGTCCGTTGCGGGAATGAATATATGTAATGGAAGTGTAAAGAATGCAAGAAAAAAGGTAAAAATAAATAAATAAATAAAAATGTATCCATGTATTTATTGCCAAATGACTTTACCCAGTATACAGTAGGGCCCTTACGGCAGTGTTTCCCAAACTTTTTTTCTCTGAACCCATATTTTAAAAGTCACAAACTTTCGCAACCCAAGTCGATAGACATTATTCCTAAACTCCTGGGAAACATGATGCGAGATGACCCCCAAAAAAATACAAACTCTTGCGACCCACATCAGGGTTGTGACCCAGTCTTTGAGAAACAATGCCTTACGGCTCCAAACTTGGGCCATTTTTTGTGTATATTGTTAGTCTGCTGAATGTATTAAATGTACAAATGTTAACATACAATTATATGCAGACGATGCAGAATTGTTTTTACAAGATCCCTCTAACCTAGATCGCTTTTTTCACATGAAACAATGACACCATTGTTTAATCTACTAATTAAAAACTAAGATTGCAAATGACTTAAAGAACCATCTAGAATCATTTCCAATATTACACGTACACATATGCGTCAATAAATGTCCACCAACCAGCGTCCACTGTGATTGTGATGAATGACGATCACGTAAAACTGAATCTGGAACAGTGTCTATGATGTGGTGAACTGAGTGGATGTGGATATGGGTCAGCGGTGGCTTGGTGGTTAATGAAGCAGACATGGGTTGGGAAGGGTTCAAGTTCGAGTCCGCCGAGGCGCTCTGAGCATGGCAGCGTCCCCACTCACTGCTCCCCGCCCCCTCACTTTGGTGATGGGTTAAAAGCAGAGGTCACATGTGTGCGCAGTGGTGTGCTGTAGTAGTTCACTTTCACTTTCAAACTCAG